CTGACTCGGTTTCCCCATTGCTCCCTCGCCCTAGCTGCCCACTTTGTCAGCCACACCCGCAGGACAGAGAAGGAAGCTGGCCCCTCCCCAGCCCCTGGCCCTTTCTTGGACTGGACTAGAAAGTTGGTGGGAGGCCTGGGGGAGAACCGAGGAGCGGGGAGCGATGGGGAGTCGGGGACGGAGGCCTCGGTGGACCTGGCCCTAGACGGCGGGTGGAGCCCTGGGGCTGAGGCAGCCCTGGGAGCTTATCAGCGGGGACCAGGAGAGTGTCCTGGTGCAGTAAACACGTGTTAGCTTGCAGGGGTTGGGTGGGGTGGGGTGGGGTGCCCGCCAGGCACAGCAGAGACCCGGGCTTGGGTGGGAGAGCACCTCAGAGGGTCGTGATATTCCAGAATGGCTGGTTGTAGGGGAAGCTCACGGAGTGTGTCAGCCCCAGAGGTAGGCAACCAAGGAAGCCTCAAGGCGGGGCCTTCTGGGGGAGCCCTGAGAAGGGGAAGGAGAGAGCCATGGGGAGGGGGCAGTTGTGCAGTGGCCTGGCCTCTGGGGGCCCGGGCACGGTGGAGCACCCGAGGGGAGGCTGGGCTGCCTGGCTGGTGGGAGTGAGAGATGAGCAGAGGCCTGCGTGGGGGTTGGACTTTGTCCCCAGGCACATGGAGAACGTGGTCCCTGAGAGGTAGGACCCCCTGATGACCAGACCCCTTGGGGCTCAGCTGTGACCACCGCCCTGGCCAGCGCAGAACCTACACGCAGGAGTGTTCAGTTCTGCTGAGTTGGACGCTCCTGAGTTAGTGTTTTCAGGGGCTCCTGCAGTCAGGGGCCGCTCACTTTCTGCACCTCCCAGGGCAGGAGGAACCTGTGTGTTCACCCACCCAGGGCTGAAGGCCTGGGATGGACCCAGGGGAGCTCAGAAGGCAGTGCGCTGGACGCCTGGGCGTCCACCCACCCTCTGGAACCTGGGCCCTGCCCCCAGGGCCCGTGGGTGAGGGGTGAGCTTGTGGCTCACAGAAGCGCTTTAACTAGTCACTTACTTAGCCGTTGTCTTCTCTTGCCCTGACCTGGTTGCACCCCTGTTCAGAGGTGCAGCTGGGATTTGAACCCTGGGTCTCTCATTCTGTAATCCAAGTCCCTGACTCTTGCTCTGGCCATTTGGGGGCATAATCTGGGCGGGTGACAGCTCCCCCAGGGGAGCCTAGGGATGCTCCCACTTCTGGCTGGGCCCCAGGCTCCCTGGGGCCTGTACGGCCCCTTCTGCCTCCACCTGGCTTTCACTCTCCGTAAAGCTCTGATCTTGGGTCGGCTCTTCAGGGGCTCCTAGGCTGGGCCTGGTAGACCTCGCTCCCTTTCTCCTGCTTCCTGGCTCAGCCCTTGTGCCTCCCACCTCGGCCTTGGTTTTCTCATCTCTGAGAGGGGCAGCAGCCTGTCTCGGGGGGGCCATGAGGCTGGGTGAGGCACCCCAGCCATCACTCACCCATGGAGGCAGGCCAAATGGCCCGTTCCACCCTCCCCAGGTGCTCAGAGCAGCGCCCAGGCTGACTCGGGTTCCAGTGAGGACGAGGCGGCCAGTGAGGCCCGCAGCACCACCAGCGACTGCCCCAGCCTTCTCAGCACCGCGGCGGAGGACATCCTGGGTGAGAACACGTCGGGGTTTGGCAGGGACTCGGTGGGGCCTCCGGGGCCAGGGTAAGACGCAGGGCTGACCAGGTGGCCTTGCAGGGGGGGATGCCGTGGACGAGCAGAGCCAGCAGGAGGACCTTGAGGAGAAGCTGAAGGAGTATGTGGACTGCCTCACAGATAAGAGGTACCCTGGCTGCCAGCCCACCCTGCTGCCATGTCCCTGCTCAACCCCTGGCAGATGTGGCCCAGGTCGGGCTGGCCCACAGGACACCCTTCTTCATCCCCCAGTGCCAAGACCCGGCAAGGTGCTCTTGAGAACTTGCGCCTGGCCCTGGCGACCCGCCTGCTCCCCGACTTCCTGCTGGAGCGCAGCCTCACACTGGCCGATGCCTTGGAAAAGTGCCTCAAGAAAGGTTGGATGTGGGGCACGTGGGGACATGAAGTGGCCGGGTGCTGACCCCGGGGCATGGCTGACTGGACACGTCCCCGCAGGGAAGGGCGAGGAGCAGGCGCTGGCCGCCGCCCTGCTGGGCCTGCTCTGCGTGCAGCTGGGTCCGGGGCCCAAGAGCGAGGAGCTGTTCCACGGCCTGCAGCCCCTGCTGGTGTCGGTGCTCACTGATGCCGCGGCCAGCCCTTCCGCCCGGCTCCACGTGAGTGCCGTGCCCGCGACACCCTCCCCTCCCCATCCCTATGCAGAGGTGGCTCCTCCTGCCTCCAGGCCCCCTGCTCTGATCCTGAGCCCCCGGCTGGGAACCAGGGCTCACTCCTGACGGTGGCCTGGCTTCGTTCTCCCAATAGTGTGCTTCTGCTCTGGGCTTGGGCTGCTACGTGGCTGCCGCTGACGTCCAGGTACGTGGCCTCTGGGCATGGGGGGTAGAGCACCCAGGCCCTCGCTCCGCCCTGAGCCACTCCCCCGCCTCCCTGTGCCCCCAGGACCTGCTCTCTTGCCTCACCTGCTTGGAAGGGGTTTTTAGCTGGTCTTGCGATGCGGGCAGCTCCACAGCCCCTGCCAGCCTGCATGGCCTGTTCCGTGCCACCCTGCAAGCCTGGGCATTGCTACTCACCATCTGCCCCAGCAGCCACATCAGCCACATCCTTGACAGGTAGAGGCGACTGCCCAGGGGGTGCGGGAGGGGAGAGTGAAGGAGCCCCCAGCCCACACACGCAGCTCAGCTCGCCCCCTCCCCAGGCAGCTGCCCCGGCTGCTCCAGCTCTTGTCCAGTGACACTGTGAACCTGCGGATTGCCGCCGGCGAGACCATCGCACTACTTTTTGAGCTCGCCCGGGACCTCGAGGTGTGAGGGGAGGGCGCCTGCTGACACCACGTGCCACTCCAGGCCCATGCAGGGGGTGCCACAGAAGACAGGGCAGCCTTAGGTCAGGGCGGAAGTAGCCCCAGCACAGACTCAGGTGCCAGGGCTCTGAGCAGGGTTGTCTGGCCGAGGCAGGGGTCCCGGCGGGGCTCAGGGGCCCAGGCAGAGAAGAAAGCGACGTCCTCAGTGAAAGGCAGGGTTTGGGCCGCCCGTGTGGAGCCAGCAGAGCTCAGGCCCCTGTGCACC